CTCCTCCTCCTCCCCCTCCTCTCCCCCCCTCCTCCTCCTCCTCTCCTCCTCCTCCACCTCCTCCTCCTCCTCCTCCTCCTCCTCCTCCTCCTCCTCCTCCTCCTCCTCCTCCTCCTCCTCATCCTCCTCGTCCTCGTCCTCGCCTCGTCCTCCTCCTCCCTCCTCCTCCTCCCCCTCCTCCTCCTCCTCCTCCTCCCTCCTCCTCCTCCTCCTCCCCCCTTTCCCCCTCTCCCCCTTTCCCCTTTCCCCCTTTCCCCCCCCCCCTCCCCCCCCCCCCCCTCCCCTTCCTCCCCCTCCTCCCCCCCCTCCCCCTCCTCCTCCTCCTCTTCTTCCTCCTCCCTCCTCCTCCTCCTCTCCTCCTCCTCCTCCTCCTCCTCCTCCTCCTCCCCCTCCTCCCTCCTCCCTCCTCTCCTCCTCCTCCTCCTCCTCCCTCTTCCTCCTCCTCCTCCTCCTCCTCCTCTTCCTCCTCCTCCTCCTCCTCCTCCTCCTCCTCCTCCTCCTCGGCGTGGGCTTGAGCCGACGGAGGCTTATCCCGTCGGTGCGTTTTTGCCTTTTCGGCCGCGCGCGCCCGCGCCCAGTTCCCTGCCCGCCGCCTGCGATAGGCGGGAGCGTCCTCTTCGCCAGCACCAGCTGGCACACTGTCTCCATTGGAGTCGATCTGGCAGGTCACGACATAGGCACACAGCACGGCGCCCAGATCCAGTTCTCCAGCCTGGCATAGACGTCTTCGACGCCAGCGAGGTTGGGCAAATAACGTTTTGAGGGTCGAGGGGGGCGCAGCGGTTGTTATCCCAGCATCACGGTTCTCATCTATGCATGGGCAAAGCTCCCAAAGGACGTGCTAATGAATCGAAAGACCCACGGTGGAGCTGCAAGGCAACACGCGCGTGCGGTTTCACTCGTAATTTCGTATATAATCAGAGGTGCTACGTGTGTGGACGAGACAAGAACGGGCAGCCTGATCCGAATGGGCCCCCAGTGCGAGATCGAACACGTGAGCGAGCACCCTCGACACCTCGGCGGCGCGCAGAGCGCGATGCCAAGACCGAGTCCGATGAGGGCACGCAGGCGCGCAAGGCACTGGCTCCCTTGCGTCGCTGCGGCTTGGGTGATGGTAACGACCTCATCATTCATGCGCGAGCTGCTGTCGCCACGGCGGAGGCAGCAGAACGAGCTAGGCGAACGCCAGACGACATGTTGCGGGCAGCTTTGGACAGGCAGAGCACTAAGACCCGCGAGGTGGAGCAGCTCACGGAGGCCGTCGCCAAGCTCAAGTCGCAGAAGATACCAAGAATGACGAGCTCGTCGCTGCCCAGATCGAGCTCACCGCTATCAAGATGGCGGTGGCCGCGGCTCGGGCTGCGGCCATGGGTATGGCGAGGCCTACTGCGGATGCATCTTCAGTTGGCGATGCTCTTGCCCTCCTTCATCAAGTGGTTCAGGGAGTTCCTGCAGCGATTTAGACGGGCGGCAACCCACAGGCTGCGCTCGACTCCTTGACCACGCACTTCACGCAGCTACATAGCGCCTGGCAGGCAATGCAGGCGCAGCATGATCCAAAAGCAGCTCCATCTCAACGAGCTCAGCTACCTCTCGGTGGTCACGGTGGCGGTATGGAATGGGAAGATCCAGGCGCCGCAGCCCCAGGGACACCTGCAACTAACAGTTTGTGCAGGTCGCGTACTCATCATGCCTCGCGTGGTCCATGGCCAGGTTCAGTCGCTTGACAACCTCAGCCTAGCGGATCGCATGACTACTACCAGGCCGCGCAATTCGAGTGCGGCCGTCACATCTTCGAGCATTTCCTCTTCTGCTGGCCACCAAAGCGATGTGAGGCTTTTGGATCGGTCGGCACCTTCCCCAGTGCAGGCTCGTGCACTTAATACTCCGGCTTCGTTGTCTTCTGCTACGACGGCCAATACCTGATTAAATCCTGTGCTCGCTGAGTGGCAGTTTCAGATGTTGCCAACGTTGTCGGGCGCTGAGGCCCGAATACATCAAGTGCGCTCCTCGCAGCGGCAGGCTCGGCCGCCAGAGGTTTTGCCATGCGCGGCTCATGGCGTATCACAGTCTCTGCAGTCTCGAATATTGAGTGGCAGGAGATCGTTCACACCAAGTTCGTTTGATGGTTTCCCCACGCCTTCGCCGACAGCACCACGTGCGGGACACGTGCGGCGACGTGGACTCAAAGGAGGCAAACGACAGGACATGCGCATGGCGTCTTTCAATGGATCTGGACGGCCACAGCTTCGTGATTTCCTCGAGCGCATCAGGAACGCGAGTGTCGCATCAGGACAGGAACTTCACCTGTCAGGCAATGCTCGCCTACAGGCCGAGGAGTGGTGCTACAAGCGGGGCTGGAAGGCCTTCATCGCCGACTCCGTTACCGCAGAGGCGGGCAAGCAGTCAGCAGGGGTCGGACTCTTCGTGCGCCACAACATCGGAATTGTCAATATCAGCGCCTTCGCTCCCGCGCATGAGATCATACCTGCGCACTGCG